TTTTCCTCTTTTTTTTTTTTTTTTTTTTTTTTTTCTTAAGGGAACAACAAGCACTGTTTATCAACCACCTGCATTTCGACATGGTCCCTGATAATGAAGAGATAAAGAGGCACTTCGAAAAGGTGTACATGAGGTACATGGGCTACGATGAGCAGAAGTTATTTGTGAAGTTAGAAAATGAAGGAAAGCCAGGAAAGCCCAAGTCTAAGAATGATATTGTACAGGGAGCTAAGAATGAGGGCAAACCGAAGGCCTCAAGGAAGAGAAAGGCAAACAAAAATAATGAAGCTGCTGAAAAGGAACCCAAAATTGATAAACCGAGGAGGAAATATGAACGGGTGAAACCTAGGAAGAGTAAAAACCAGAGTGGCAAAGCAGAGGCCGACCAGGGGGTGGGGGGTGTTGAAGCAGGGCCAGGTGTTGATGCAGCGCAGAATATTGGAGCCGCTGATAATGCGTCGATGGGTGCCAATCCCCCTAATGACTCCGCGGCCAAGGAAGGCACATCGAATAAGAAGGTACGCAAACCGAGAGAACCAAAAACGAAAAGTAAAACCAAGAATGCACATAATAATGACCCGACCTCTTTTAAGGGCGATCCCAATACAGTTATTCAGGCATCCATAGACTTCATGGATCCCAACCTGTTTACCTAAAATGGGTGCACTGTCCAGGAGGGATTGATCAAATTGATTATCACGCATTAGGGATCATTTTTTCGTTTTTTTTTTTTTTCATTTTTTGTGTGTGCAACGCTGTAATATGATGTATTGCACCGTCAGCACGTCGTAACCGCAAGTGCTATGTGGGCATTCATATTGATTAACCTTTGAGTTACTTTTTACCACGTCCGAGTGCATTTCATGGAGGCGGTTCAAGGGAAGCGTCTGCACGTGAATGTGCATAACGTTCACTGGAATACCTGTTACCCCCATTTTGCAGTGGGGGGCCGTTCCTGTGCGTGCCCCTTAAAAAGGGCACTGTGTGTTGGTACGCACCTTTTGGAGAATTCGATGTAGGCGCATAGGTAAGTCAATTTTTGTACACATAGATACTAATGCGTCGACTGTTTGAACTTGCTAATTTCGTTATGTTATGTTGTCTTGTTTTTTTTTTTTTGTTTTTTTTTTTACCCAAACCTAGCTGTATGATTCACGTCATTAAGCGAACTTTTTCGACCTCAAATTGGTAGGCAAATGTGGTATCCTTTTTAAGCCTTTTTTGGCGCTCTCCCATGTTGGGCGGATAACGCTTTAAAATATGTCCAAGGGAAGCCATTCATTTGTGGAGTAAAATGGAAAACGTCCTTCCTGCGAATGTTGCTTACGCAAATGTATATACACATGTGGTATGTTCAGATAAGTGCATTGCGTGGCAGACACGAGTTCTTTTTTTTTTTTTTCTTCTTTTTTCCAAACTACTTTTGCTTGAGACCGGTTATCCCCTTGGTAAATTTCCCACTTTGGTAAAATTGTCCGTTTCTCGCATTGATTAAATTCATCTCACCTGCTTCGCTTCTGTTGCGCGCGCTTGTTAAAAGGTTGTTTCTCCAAAAGGGGTTCTTGAATTGTTAAGGAGCATCAAAACTTTGCCTTATTGTGTCTACGTCCAATTTTGTTTTCCTGTTTTTTTTTTTTTTTTTTTTTCAATTTCTTTTCTGTCCAACTCGCGAAGGACACGATGATGCTGAATTATTTGTTCTACACATCCACCCCCAAGTATGAAAACAAAATTCAAAAGAAAAAAAAAGATGACATGAGCTCTCTGCAATGTTGTATTGAAAATGCCTCGATTACGCTGATCCTAGTTGGGTCTATAGTGCTGGCCATAAGTCTGTTGATGGTAAGAGGGGCGTAAAATGGGTGCATCATCCCACCACCAAAAATCCTACCCCATGAACCCCTTCCAACAGGGCCGCTATCCATGGGGTATATCGCCCGATATGTTAAGCATGCCCCATTTGGAGACCCCGGTTAACTCCTTACCCTCTTTCCGCAGAGCACATTCTTCTCAGACAATTTAAGAAGTTCAAGTGTGTACAAATTATTCTGCCTTACATCAGGTTCGTGTCTGTTCGGTTTAGTTTGGAAGGGGGCGGTGGTCCAACGCGTTACCCATTTAGCAGCGCTACGAATATTGGCGATTGCACACCTTTTCACCATTGCCGCCTTAACGGATCGCAGGACTTTGGCTTGTTATTATAATAGCGCAAGTGTTAACCTTTTTATTTTCCTCAACCATTTTTCACAGTAAGTTGTTTCTCCGCGGATTGTGCGTGTCTTTGGAGTTGACAACTTGGGAGGATGTTACCTCGTCATTATTGGCTATTCATTTTATTTTTTTTTGTTTTTTGTAGATTCCACGCATTTGTTCTTAAATGACCAAAAAGGAAGTGCAGGTGGACCAATTTGTGCATTTCATATGCTTTCAGCTTTGGCACCACATGGTTGAAGGGAACAAGATTTTTTTTTTTTTTTTTTTTTTTTTTAGCGCATAAGTGGAATCCCCTTAGCACTGGCCTATTTTTAAGTAACATATAGGGACGCTAACACGGCGTTTGCATGTCATCTGTGCTCCTGCCCACGTCTACGTGGGAACCCCGCGTCTGGATCTACTCACACACATGTACACCATACGTATGTATATTTATTTTATCATTTCACCGTTGGTATGTTCCCCTCACGAAATGAAACTCCTGCCCGTTCCCCACCCGAAGCCAACGTCGTAACCTTCAGCTGCGTGTCCGTCCTGTCCTTTTGCGGTTAAGCTGTGCAGACAACTGAGTCTATGCTTGCGAGAGGCAGGAAGATATACATGCACCAAAGCGACCTCTGCATTCGCAAGGGGGAAAAAGCATGCACATGCATAATATAAAAATACTTCTTCTCACATGTGTAGGAATATTCTCTTACGTAGTCAGCACGTTTAGTGGGTCCAATGGGCGCATTTTGGCCTCCACCATTTTTAGCTTTTCCCTGAACTTGTACGTGTGACGGCGGGGAAGGGACACATCAACTGGAAGATTTGTCCAACCCGTCACTCCTGACCATTTCATGCATTCCTCCTTTTTATTTTACATGTTTCACTTTTTTTTTTTTTTTTTTTACAGAGTGTTCCTGGCATTCCAGTTCCTATACATACTGCTCCGAATCCACAAAATCAAGGGCATAAAGTTTAGTAAATATTTGCCTTTTTTTTTGCCCGGGTTTTCTTGTGTAATGAAGAGGAGAAAATGAGTGCGAGCCCGCCACGGCTAGGGTGCACGTGGGCTTTTCCACTTATGGGGGAGTGCTCCGTTAATCTAAACGGATTTAGAGACACGTACTTGTTCCGTGCTTATTCGAATGGACACCCGGAAAAGAAGCCGTTCTGCCCCATCTTTGCAGATGCTAGAATCCATCGCAATGAACTTGAAGCATAAAATGAGACAGAGTCTACTGGATAATAAGTCTAAAAGGGGAATGCACAAAAAAAAACTTGAGGACGACGTGATGCACCAGGATGGTAACGTCGCCTACAGGCAACTGTGCAAAGAGTGCGCAGTTTCGCAAGAAAAATGCAGCGCGTTGTTTGTTCAACTGTTTTGTAATTTTTTTTTTTTTTTTTTTTTGTCTTTCCCCTTTGCACAGAAAATATATTTTTGATTAACTAAAATGGGGATGAAACAAATGGCGCCGCATAGGATCATACGTGCGTAGACCTACTCTCCACCAAGGGGTTGTGTTCACGAGGACCCATTTCGTGAAAATTGGAGGGGGAAGTACGTGCAAAGTGGGTGAAGGGCTAGTACGTACGAAAAGGCTGAACATAGTGGTGATCACTACCATCGTTATTACATTCACTGTTGTGGATAAATGTAATTTTTTTATTAAGGACAAATCAACCTTGCTCAATGTTACGTGGGAAATAACTCACCGTGGCACCACTAATCATTTTGTATTGAGATATGGGGTCATAGCCTCAAATCAGCCCATTCAGTTGTTTAACACGATAGCCCGGAGCTCCTCCTTGAATTCTTCTATGTCGCATGTTATTTCTAAGCTTTTGAAAATGCCATTAATTTTTTGAACAAGTGATTCTTTGGATGCTGCGTAGAGCATTTTCTCCTTCGCCTTGGCAGAATCGGGGGACCAAAAAATGAAGTAAATTCTGTTCCGCAATACGCCCTCAGGGGTGTGGATAGGCATATCTGCAAGGGGGTAAAAAAAGGCATAAAAAAAAATAGAGTGAAATAAAAAAGGTGTAAGCAGGGAGGCTAACGCGTTACCAGATGGCTGCTCTAATTAGCAATGTAGAGTAAGCCTATCGCGGGAATGTGCTGTTGGAGGTGTTCTCTTCCACCTGCTCACTTGTGCAGACTCACCTGCGATGATGTATCTACATTCGGTCGATTTCAAATTGTTCCTGATGTCCATTATGATATCCTCGAAGGACTTCAAGTCTGAATCCTGTTGCAACGCATCTACAATTATTTCTTCGCAATTCTCGATTCGAAAAAGTATGTACTTGTGCATGTGCTTCACTTTCAGCTTGTTGAATTCGTATATGCATTCGTCTGACACCTTGACCCCGGAAACCATTTTTTCCCTCTGTGCTACGTTCGTCGTTGCCTTCGGTTGTTCCCTATTCAGGATTTTTTTCCTTTCTCTCTGTGTCTTCTTTGCGCATGCACGTGCGAATATGCCTGATCGACCGCTTTGGTGTGCCTCCCTAGCTTTAGCATGTCACTGTGTGATTTGAATCTTCCTTCTGAAGATCAAACGGAACAATGTGCGTCGCCAAGCGTGCGATGCGATGTGGGAGTTTTATGCAAAAAAGTAACATTGCTGTTTTTCCACTTTTTCTTTTTTCTCTTGAAAAGGTGAAACATAATTCGGAGATGCGAGGCAGGAATGTAGACACAGTTTTATTTTTTTTTTATTTTTTTTTTTTTTCCACGTAAAGGTAATACACTACCATTTGAGCGTAACTAACTCGTTAAGTGTTTTTTTTCTCCATCCTATTTCGAACGTTTATGTGGTACACTTATGCTATAATGACTCTCGCTGTATTTTTTACTGGCGAGACCCACGCATATATATGTATATGTATTGTTTTTCATTTCCCCAGTGATTCTACACTGTGTAGACGAAAAATTTACATTTACGAAGAAGACGTTATTGCACACACGCGCGGGTTCAAAACTGGGACACGTGAACGCAAAAAAACAAAAAAAAAAGTAAACATGTATTTGTGGACACATACTTGACACATGTCTAGACAAATGCCCACAATAAGCGACATAGGGGGTATACTAAATGGTGGTATTTCAAAAATGGGAAAACGTGGAAGATTTGGAGAGTTTCTCCTCCCTGGAATGGCCAATTATTAGGATTTTCTCCTCAACATGTTCACAGGGTGAAGTCTATGCATAGCTCATTATTCAGCTGGCAACCTTCCTGCAACTTCATTTTCTCTTCGAACTTTTCTGAAAAATTACCTAAACGACGAAGGGGGAAATGTGCCAATATATTATATGCTGTGTAGATTAGAAGCGACTCCCCTTTTTTATATAAAACATTTGTGCATGTGTGGGGCGGATAATTTTTCTCCATTAAAACTGTGCACATTTTCCAAAACTAATCATGAATCGCGGCGCCACACAAAAGGGTGGTCACACGGTTGGCGCATGCACTGGTAACTTACTGGGCCAGATATAAGAACATGTTGTGTTTGTAGGAATGACACCCATTATCTGTTTGGTCAAGATGGAAGAAGGGGAAGCATTTTAACTTAATTCGCGCATAAAAATGAGGGGAAGTAAATGGCCAAATGAACTTGTTCATGGGAAGGTGGAGACGGTGCGTGATATGTTTTGTCAAATGCTCACCTTCCAGCATTCTCCTATTAGCTCGGAGCAGAAATATCCCGCGTCATCTGTGGCGGTGGGGGTACGGTGGACAAAAGCAAAAACGGGGGGAAAAACAAAATGTATAAACATAAGGATAGGCAAAAACATAAACCAACCTAAAGGTACAAAATGATCAGTGCTGAAGGGTTAGACCAATTCGTACACATAGGAAAAGAACAAAATATATATATATGTTAACTACGCCGCTATATATGCACAAATAGGACGCACCAGATTTGGGGGCCAGAAAATTAATTATCCTGAGGTTATATTTTTTCCCTATGGTGTTTTTCAGAAAGTCGAGCAACTTTTTAAGATTTTCTTCAGAGTTGTCCCAGGTGAGGCGTCTCAGAGCAATTCTGCAAAAATAAAATTTCGCATGTGTCTATAAATGTGTGTGTATGCGTGCATCCTTTGAGCGTCCCCTTCCATGTAGAGTTACAGGTAAATGTACATGTATTGTGTTTGTCCCTTTTGGACATAACAGCATTGTGCAGGTTCGTTGTTGAGGGTGAAATAAACTAACCTGGTGTAGGCCTCGTTCCACCGGTTCTTTCTAAAAAGCTCCCACGGCGTCAGGATGATTCCCTGGGAATGATGCAAACAAATTAGCGAAGGCCAAAGTGCAAGCATGTGTTTGCGTATGTGGTAGTTTTATATTTGGTACCTTCTCAACGCTGGTGTAGTTACCCAGGTACACTGCTACACAATACGTGTGGACGCGATTACCATGTTGGATAAGGCCTCGAGGAGAAATATTCCGTTTTTGTCATTCCTCAGAATCATACCGATGTGATCATACTCGCCCCTCGTTATGATCCTCTGCAGCTTGGCAGTAGCCACGTTTGACCTGTTCGTTCGAAATGGAAAGGAAGTCACGCACACCAGCTGAGTCTGTGATTTAAATAAAAATTTTGCGTAAAATGGGGGTTGAGACACACAATCGCACGAAATATATCAATTATGCCCCTCGCAGCTTCCTTGTTTCTTGTCCCATTCGTTTGCTTCCCCCCAGATGATCACCTGAATAAGATTATGTCTCCCGTGTCTGCAATGGACTCGAATACATCAACCGATATTCTGTCCATTTTCCAAAAGTTACTTTCTGAAAAAATAAAATTCGGTTGACTTATAATTTTATTGCTCGTCATGGAGCTCTTTAGCAAGTTGTACCAATCGTATATTTCTGCGTCTTCACCCTGCCGGGAAAATGGCGTTACCGGCGTTGCGGATGGGGGGAAAAAAAAAGGGGGGGGTGAATATACATGTACATGTATGGACAGTGGTGTTCCTTATTTTATACTCAAGCCTACCCTTAAGTAAAACCTGAGGCCTGTGTTCCTTGGGGTTAAAATTAGGACAGACTCCTTTTTGCTGTCGTTCTTGTACATCCTCGATTCGATGCAGTCTGTGAGGGGGAGGAAAAAAAAAAAAAAACATGTACTGTGGGGTGTAAAATCGGTTAGGCGGTTATACAGACGTACATTCATGCTTACATACTATTATAACACGTTGCGTGTGTTATATTATCCTTATAGGAGGCTGCTTATCCCCCCTGTATGAGCGCTTTCTCTATCCTTACACAGAATGCAGTCTTCTCCACTTCGTTTCCGCTTTGTCCCATTTTCGTACTGTACAGATTGGGGGAAAAGGAAAATAAACACGAACGTGGTTAAGGTAGTATATATGGGGGAGGTTTTCCCCCTCATTTGTGATGAAGCTGTGCAACCACACATTGTCCCATCCTGTGAGTATCATTTCTACTATCTGTTCCGCATGCAGTTTTTCTTTTATTCATTTGTTCACATTTCAGATCCTTATTTAAGACACAAAGTGAGGGATACGTGCATATGTTTAAGAGCGCGCACGGAGAAAATACTTTTTGTTTACGTTAATGTCCATGCGGATGAGCTCTAGATCGAGGACGCCTGACGGCCTCAAGCTTTCTTTACTTTTGAAGTAATATAATTTTTTGTTTTTCAGAAGAAACCATCTTTTGGAGTATCCACACCAAGAACTCGAACACCTTTTGTCTAGGTAGCCCTCTTTGTGGTACTGCGGGGGTGGGTGGTCAGGGGTGAGTCGTCAATTATGAGCAACGTACACAAGTAGATACATCCCATCGCTACGTTTGTGTGTGTCCGCTTCCATTACCGGCGAGAAATTGTGGCAGGTCGAGCAGAAGACAAAGTCGTCCGAAAAGTCAAGACAGTCCTGCACGTGGAGGCAATTTTTTTAATTATGTGTGAAACTCGGGAAAAGTCAAAAAAGTGATGACATAAAAAAAAGTTGCATTGTTATGAATAGTTGAGGAACACGCAAAAGTGAGTCACCTGCTTATTTTGATCATTTTGCATGACGTGGTTGCATCCATCTTTCGTCGCTGTTTCCATGAATTGCTCAATGTTCCAAGTGGTGGGCAAAAATACGGTGAGGGGGAGGAGGGGCGTATAATATTCATGAGAAATCACCCAGCTTGGGAATTCCTAATTCGAAAGAATTTGTTATTACCAAAATGATAACGTGACAGGGTGCAACCCTCGTTTGCATTTCTATATTTTTACAAAAAGACAGAAAATTGGGAAAAAAAAAAAAAAAACAGTAAAAAATAAAATGGATGTTATTTCACTCCTCCCTTCGCGTCTGCTTAAAGAACCACGCGTTGGTTCAGTCACAAAAAAAGTTGACACAAATTTTCCATTTTTAAAAATGTGGACATGTCCAACTGAGTCAATGTTAAAAAGGTGCATAACTGGGGTGAACTACAAGTTGTGCATAATCAAGGTTTATCAAATTGTTGTGTATTCAATTTGGGGGATTTTTGAGGGGGAAAAAAAAAAAATTCTCCACCGCTACAAAAATTAAGTGCAGGAAAGTCTGCAATTTGGGGGGGAAATAAAATTTGCGCCTGTTCCATAACACGTTGCACATTGTACACTGAGCGAAGACACGTATGCGCATATATGTACTCATAACAACGTGAAGTGGTCACTATCCTGTGTTGGACACATTCTCCCCTTTACCCATGTGTGTGCAAGCGCGTTGCGTAAATTGTGCGCGCTCCAAGTTAACCGAAAAATTTTGTTAAATTTTATTAAATGTTGTTATAAAAACGAAGAGCAAATAGCATAAGACGAAAAGGTGACGAACAAAAAAAAAAAAAAAAAAAATTACAAAAGGTGACTTTGTTAACTATTCTCCTCATTATATTTCTCCAGCCAATTCATTTGAATATTTTCCAGAACGCCTTCATTACACCTGCCGCTTAACTTCTTTTTATTTTTCTTCACAACGGTGTCCATTACCATATTTTCTAACTCCTCAAATCGCAACGTTAATGGGTCTACATGCTGGTATTCCTCCAAGAGTAAGTCCGCTATGTCGTCCGCATCTTCCCAATCTAGGGCTACGTCATTGTTGTCATAAGTGAAGTGCCTCCTGCAAATAAATTTTGACGAATGGTAGGAGAAGGTGCTTGAGCTGACACTTCGGTGAGTCAGCGTTGGACATTTAGACCAGCAGGAGTTTACGACACACTTGCATTTTGTTATGGCCAGGGAGGAAAATTTTTTCATACTGGCAGCTGCCATTTGTTTTGCCTTCGACATGGGTGTAAAGTATACGTGCAAATACGTTCGGTCTGTTTAAAAAAAAAGGCGATTCTATGAAGGTGACTACTGCGCAGGGGAAACATAACCCAATTGTCGTAAATGAGGTGTAAACTGAGACAACGGGGCATGCAAAATTACTTCGAGCACGTGCTGCTGTGTTATGTGAGTGAAGATGATAGCATTAGTCAGTGCGCATTTGTGCATTTTTTTTTTTTTTTTTTTCTATTATAATGTATTTTTCGAGTGCTCCCAGTTCACAATTCCTCAGCGTGCCCCTTTTTAACTTCCGTTTGCGATTTGGCCAGTTTGTCTCACAAATTAAATTTCCGCAGATCGGACCATCTGGTAGCTAGCACCATGAATGGCCACTTGGAGGTGTTACCCTCGCACGTTTAGTCACACATTTACGCCACATGGACCAGCAGCCCACATAATCCCGCCCTTGTTAAACCCGCATACAATTAATATATATTTCTCCTCACTGTTAACAAATTTGTAAAGCTACACAGACTGTGGGGAGAAGGTGCAAAGGGCGCAACGACAACGTGTTCTATTTTTTGCCCTTAATTTTGTGACACTCGGGTGGACTCCGCGCCCAAATGAAGATTAATTCTTCCAACAGGCAAGGCAAGCACAAGGGGAGATAAGCATACTCTGTGCGATTGCTCAGAGGGGACAAAAGGCAGGGGCATATAGCTGTGCTGTTTGTTAATACGTTGTTCCTGTGCGCATAGGAGTGTACACACGCATTATGTGCGTATGAATTATAAATGCCACTCTACATTTAAGTAGCCTCGAAATGTTAAAGCTGCTTGGAGCTGATAAATTAAATGCGCCTTTGTAATGTACGTGTTAGCGTTTCTTCTCCATATGGAACAAAATGAGGGGAAAAATAGCCTAGTCCTTGTGTGGCTGCGTTATTAAAATGACGCTTCGTCTCTCTTCTGCGTTTAAAATAAAATGCACTTATATGAGAAGGCGCCCCGAAAATTAGAAAATGTGGTGCCTTTTTTTTATTTATTTTTGTCCTGATCACATACGTACAAGAACGAGAAGCGCAACATATGCACTGAAAAATTTTTGGGAAAAGGTGTAAGAAAAAAAAATAAAATAATTTCAGGTGTATTTTTCGAAAAATTTGAACAGTAAGATTCATTTTAAAAAAGTAGAATTTCTTTATGCGATGCGTAACTGAGGAATATAAAATGAATAAGTTAAGAAAATTGGCGAATGGGTGTTAGCAGATAATTAGCTAGATGGGTAAGCGCGCAAGTGTCACTTTATTGTACATATGAAACATATGCTTTGCGCAAATTTGCGTACATTTTTAGTAGCACAAGGAGTAACATCCAATTCGTGTGAAAGGATAATACCTCGCTTTTGCGTTTGCATAAAAGATGTTTTTCCTTTATGCGTTTTTTTAATTGGACCACTCCCGCTTCCCTCTTTAAAAAGGAATTAAAAAGACTGGGAAGGTCATTTGTTTTTTGTGTAAAACGTTTTGTTCCTACGTTGTAATTTTCTGTAAGCAGCCGGGCACCTACAAGGATTTAGAGTTCTCTCCTGATTTTTTTTAAAATGTTCAAGTTAAATTACAAGTTATGTAACGGCTTAAGAAATGTATACCACTTCACAGGTACACAGAAACCTAGCCTTATAAAACCTCAGTTCGTTGGAATCATTCCGTTCAAATGTAAAGAATTCGCGACGGGGAAAAAAAATGCACCCAGTAGCAAAGCAAGCGAGGTTAAGGGCCATGGACACGACCATGAAGGACACACCAAGGGATTGTACCATCATGTTGAGCACCATCATGGAAATCCTCGAGACCATCTAGATCAAGACGGAGTAAGGAAACCAGAATATGATTTTGACAACTACCACTGGGACGATTACTGGTTACACACACCAAAACAAAACATAGTAATTGTGAATGGACAAAAAATGATTAAGGGGGAAGACACGAAGCCGATGGAGTATTTATTTAATGTAAGCCAAAAGAACATTCCTTTTTGGTCCAGAACAAGATTAAATGTGTGGGGAAATTACAATATGGTTTTAAAAGTTGAGTTTCTGTTTTTCTGGATCCCAACGCTTATCATTTTTAGCATCGCGATTCCGTGTTTCACCATGTTGTATATGTTGGATGAGATCGTTCACACAACCATGACTGTGAAGGTTATAGGGCGACAGTGGTAAGAACAAAAAGGGCACATGAGGCACGAAATGTGTAAAAAAAAGGGGGGAGCGTCTTACGTGAGCAAGCACTGTAGCGTGCGACATGTTGTACTAAGACAATGCGTTGTTCTATTTTTTTTCTGTTCTTTTTGCTGTGCCGCCTATGTGTGTACACCCACCTTTTATTTCCCCTCTTCGTACGAGTAGTGCCCATTTCGAGTGATGTGCTTCCTCATCACCAGACACGGATGCACACGCAGATACGCATGCGGAACTAAGCACGTCACATTTGCTTTCACCCGCGTGTGCGCGGGCATATGTGCGAACGGATTAACCTACGCACATACACACATATGTACGTGTGTACTTCCCCTGCACATTTATTCTCTCAATTGGTTCATTTTTACAAGTTTTTCTTTCATTTTTTTTTTTTTTAAGGTATTGGATTTATGAAGTAGAATCACCCCCGGAAGTGGACGATGATGAATAAGGCAATACCATTTTTTTACTTTTTTTTTTATTAATGGCAAACTAGTTGGCATTATGCGTACAGAAATGGATTAAGTGTAGAAGTTTACATTTTTTTTTTTCCACTGAACTAGTTTAAATGAATTCAATTTTTGACAGTGGTTATACTTTACCCAGGCGTGCAAATTGTACATATACGTACACGCGCTATATTGCATGTTTTTTACATTTTATATTTACCAGTTTATACGTTACGTGTATGGTGTAGTGTACGCACGTTCTTCATATGTTCCATGTACTCTACATTTTTCACCATTACGTTGTGTTCCTTTTTTATTTTTTTATTTTATTTTTTTTTTTTTTTGTCTGAACAGCCATTTTTCGTTACAGTACCATTTCCAGTTGCACAACATTACAGTAAAATTTCCCCAGATGAACTTCATTTTTTTTTAAAAAATAGGAAAAAAAATATGCAACAAAGTTAATTTTTGACTATCGAACCGTTTCTACCAATTTTGCTTTTTCCATATGGGCGTTTTACCACTTGGACGTTCTCACATTTTGAGAATTTCGTTCCGCGTGAAACAAATTGGTTTGTCCATTCCTGACGCTACATGTAGCAATAGACTGAATCGTTTACGTGAAAAATTAAATCGCGGCAGGAATTTTTTTTTTTTTT